CAATTTTTCATATCTTTTGAACAAAAGTCTAAATTAAATTATGTTTTCATATTCATGTTTCTTGTGACGAGAGTTTTCAAATAAGATCTATTTGAATACATTTTGAGAAGTTTTAAAATATTATGTTAAGTTTCAACCTTTAAAACTTAGTATAAGTGAACCAACAAAATCACAACTTCTGCAAAAAAAGCACTTAAAGTTTTAACTCTGAAACTTGATACTAGTGACTGAGAAAACCGCAAGTATTAGATACGAAATCATACATTTTAAAGATTAAAACCTACTGTTCCCTCATGCGGAGTCCAACTACTTTATGGATTGCAAGGCAATCAGGTGGCCGGGAAGGGCTGGGCACCTTGCGTGCCGTGCAAATTTCGAACAAGTTAGCATACAAGCTATTGAGATGCTCTTAGAGTAAGTACATGTTCTATAAGCCTGTTTACATGATATCTTTGCCTATATGAAGAAAAGAGACATAAAAAGAAATGAAGTAGTGGGCTATGTAAGAGCTCGCCTCTACGCACACTCCTAAGTAAAATGAGAAAGTGAAAAAAATTGTAAGCACTATTGTATGAGTAATTAATGATGACATGACACGTTCGGTTAATAGTACAGTCAGTTGTTGCCTATATAACATTGTCACGTCATTTATAGTCAAGGTTATAGCGGTCACGTGCAATAGTTACATATAAAGATGTGCTATTTTTATTAATGCATGGTCCATGTTTCACTCTCACGTAGTACTCCATCCATTCCACAATGTAGTGCTTCCTCTATCCACGTGTTTCACCTTTGACCGTAAATTTAACTACCAAGACCGATTGCGGCGGGAGCAAAAATTATATCAGTGAATTCGTATTCGAAAGAAGTTTTTAATTATATAATTTTTTTCTCACGCCGCAGTTGGTCTCGTTGGTTAAATTTATGGTCAAAGTTGGACCTCGAAAAACGCAGGCGCGCTATATTTTGGAATGGAGGGAGTACTAGTGGCTAGGAGCACGTGTTGCAGCTGGCTCTTAGGCTTCTTTTGGTTCCCCTCTTCTCTTCCTTCATGTCAGCAGGAATATAACATTTTAACTCTTATAGCACGCTTATATAAGCTAAGCTTATTGTACTTCCTCTTAGCCCACCTGACATGCATCCACAATCATCCGATGCACGGACGGCACGTAAAGTACTCTGCACGAACCTCCGTTGTGGTTGCAGCATCCTTGCGTGCATGCATAACTAGCTCTTGGCCGGGTTGTTCTATTTCCATTTCACTACGTTTGTGCGATTTTGGCCGTCGTGTTGGTTTGAAACACACTGTTGCATCCTGCGGACATGAATTGGGACTGGGACGTCGTCGGCGTGCCGAGCGAACCAGCGGCTAGCTGAACCCCGTCGACCCAGCTATAATTGAGTTCCCTGTGGCTTGTCGCTGGCCGAATCAATGAGACGACAGACAGGCCAAGGGCATGTTAAACTCCCCGATGGCGACGGCAGCGCCATGCGAGGACTTTCAAGGGCACGTCCACAGAAGAGGGAGCGGTCTGGCCTTCTGCGCAGAGGCGGGCTTCGGACCTCGGAGGCGGCTTGTTGTTGGCAGTTGGAGCAGCATTGGACCCTCGTATCTGATTTGACATAACCCAGGGGCCGCAGAGACGATGAACCACTCCTACATATCGCCTCTCTCTCAAGTGTAATACAAAAAGGAAATAGAGCAACATAAAATTACAAATGCCATGCTCTAATTTATAAATTTTCATGCTATACATTATAAAACTGCCATCCTCTAATTTATAAATTTAGAAAGGTATATCCAAAAAATGTGCCATGATATCTACAAAAAACAATAATGGCATGCTGTAATTATAAACAAACAGGAGTGGTCGGATTGCAACTTTACCAGAGAAAATGTTTACCTAGATCATGGCAAATTAATTAAAAAAAGGCCAGCTTTAGCACCACAAAATATAGGCCTTAAAAGAAGTTAATATTTTGCACCCACCTTGATTCACTAAAAACATGCAAATTTGCCATCCTTTTTGTAATAAAACTACCGCACAGGCAGCAATTCAAATAGTACATACATTGTATGTATTCTGATGTGTATATATGAAAACTTGCTAATGTCCAGGAAACTAATTTGCCGAACCTTTGAAATTTAATTTGCCATGTCATCTAAATTTCCATGTACATGGAAAATTTGCGTATTAATGAAAAAACATACAAAAAAGTCAAATGTATTTTGAAGTTGTCGTGGTTGTATAATTTAAGTTGCATGGCAACACGTTTTTAGTTATCGATGATAATGATGCAAACAATTGGAAATGTTGTAAGAACAAAGAAAATTGCCATGATGAAAACAAAAAAATGCCATGACACTAAAAATAAAATTCTCGTGCTCTTAATAGTAAAATGGTCATACCATATATTTTATTTGTCAAAAGGAAAACAACACAGAGAAAAACTACCATCAATGAAATAATAAAATTGCCATGCCATTTCAAATAAATTTAGCATGGTCTAGATAAATTGTTTTGCCATGATCTTATTATAAAACTGACATGCTCTATATTTCTTTGTCATACCAAAAATCACACATCCAAAATACCGTTGTAAATAATAAAATTGCCATGCATTGTACCAAAAAATTGCCAAAAATGAAATTGACATGGTTAAGATTGAAAAAGAAGCTACAAAAACATAAATTTGTCATGTCCCATATCAAAATTTAAGAAAAAAAACTATGTTCAATAAAAAAATCATGGCAATTATTTTTAGAAAAGAACAGGTTTCTAATGGTTAGATGGGAAAAAAAATAAAATTATTTGCCGTATCATACATATAGATATTTGTTTTGCCACGATATGTAAAAAATAAATTTGACATGTTAAGGTTATTTTTTGCCATGGTATATACAATAATAATGCCAAGGTCAATACAATAAATTTGGCATGGCCCAATTCAAAAAGAATACCTACATTTCCACGTGAATAGTTATTTAAATGTTATATAGAACTTCAAGTGCCCATGGCAAAAACATCAGAAAATTTGCCATGTGTAGTTTCATGGCTAAAACACAAGTAAGTTTGGCATGTAATGAAGGTAGATCTAATACAAAACAGAAGGTGCCATGGTTAAAAACATATTGAAGTTGACATATAGCTATTGTGTAGATGGTTTCTCTTCGAATCGAAGAAGTAAGCCTGGCCATACTCCGCAAAGAATTGAACAGTGTAATATGCATGAGATCAACCCGTGAAGTCTGGTATATATGCAAGCATAAAGGACTGAAGGACTTACAATGCACAATAAGGCATGAGTAACGTGTCTTTGCCCGGACTCGCAAGCATGCATCGCCGGCGGTAGTTCGCAATTATTTCCTTGCCATGTTGGGATTCCACACTGAACACATGCATGTGATAAGGATCAAGAAAGGCAACAATATAAATCGTCATTTTGGCATCTAAGGCTTGATAAAGCGACCATAGCCTCATGAAGGACGGGCGGGCTGTAAAAGCGTGGAAAACGTGGTCGTGGACCATCTCAAAGGGCAAATATATTTTCTCCGCCAGGAAATATTCAACGAAATTCAGACCCTCTTTCACCTTTGACATGTAACAACTGTAATAATCTTCAGTTAGCCTCCTTACCACGCCATCGTGTAGAAGCCTCACTTCCGTCGAGAGGTTCTTCAACTGAGCCTCTGGTACGGCCATCGGTTCACCGGGCAGATAAATATCGTATGTACATCAACTAATAATATCGTATGTATATCAAACATTGGTGGACAAATATGTCGAAGCCCAATACGGCGAACCGGAAGGCCATGGCTTCCCTTACTATGCTTGTCGGTTGGGCCATCTGGAATGAGAGGAATGCTAGAGTTTTTAGGAAGAAATCAACGCCCCCCTTCTACATTCTAAAACTAATTCAAGATGAAGCCAAACTTTAGATCACGGCAGGAGCTAGGCACCTGAGCATTATCATGCCGCGAGAGTAGTTGTTATTTTCCTTTTATTGACGGACGAGCTATGCTGTGGAGCCACTAATTTGTACTCTAAAACTCTCCTTCTTTATTAATGAATGAGGCAAATTTTTTGCCTCTATTTCAAAAAAAAAAAAACTAGTAACTTGTAAGGGTCGACTAAGTCTGGGTAAGGGTGCAAAGGCACCCCTCTGGATCGCCCTGAGGGAAGCAACCGAAAAAGAACGGAGACTTGGTGTCGATGAGTGGAGATCGTGTGAACCAAGTCATGTGTCCGTTCCCCAAAGATCAGAATCGCCTGTGCCTAGCCCTGCCACTCGAAACCCTAGAAAATGGTTCGGGGTTCACGTATGTTCAAAAGGCATGTCTAGCCTTGTCATGATTCCTCCTTATTATATCCTCAAACACGGTAAAAGGAGCGAACCAACTTGTGGTTGGATAGTTAGAGGGACTGTGGTATCCCTGTTCCACCAGGGTTTGGGAGGAGACGTTCCCGTCGATTAGGAGGTGCCTACGGTGACTTTGTAAATTATTTAATACAACTTTTTTTGCCTTTGCAAAAATCTACCTCAACGACAGAATTTCCTAACACAAAATGGAGTGAAAGATTTTGTAAAACAGGCATGCGACGGCGCCTGTCATTTAATGTGGGCCCTCTCCCGTATGCACATATATACTATCTTTCTCTCAGTTTACAGGGCGTGTGCGTGCCTCTAGATCGTCAATTTGACCAACCTAATACAAGTCATATATTACAAAAAATATACCAATATAAATTTCAGATATTCTATTTTCAAACCATATAATTTTTGTGTTATATAATTTATATTAAGGTGATAAAATTGGCAACCTAGGTATACGCGTAGGACTTGTAAACTGAAACGGAGATAGTACAGTCGAATCCTCAAAGGCAGACCAGCCGAGCCTATAAATTGATGGAGTACCAAACGGTGAGGTCAGGCCTTGTCAAGCTTGCAGAACAAACAGATAAGCTAGGTAGCAAGCTGCTCCAAGGCTCCAGGACACCATGGCCACAAACCCCGGCCTCTTCAGCGAGTGGCCATGGAAGATGCTCGGCAGCTTCAAGGTACGTACCAGATCTAGTTTGCGCCACCATCACCCCAGCTTTAGCTATCTATCGTGTCCAAACTGACTAAGCCGGCATGCATGCGGATGAAGTACGTGGTGCTGGCGCCATGGGTGGCGCACGGCATCCAGCAGGTGGCGACCAAGGGGTGGCGCGAGGCCGATCTGGGGTACCTGGTGATCCTCCCGTCGATGATTCTCCGGGGGCTCCACAACCAGGCCTGGATCACGGTGTCCCGCCTCCAGAACGCGCGCGGCAAGCGGCAGATCGTCGACCGCGGCATCGAGTTCGAGCAGATCGACCGCGAGCGCAACTGGGACGACCAGATCATCCTGAGCGCCATCCTCTTGTTCCTGGGCGCGCTGCACCTGCCGGGCGGGCAGAACCTGCCGCTGTGGAGGACGGACGGCGCGGTGCTGCTGGCGCTGCTGCACGCCGGCCCGGTGGAGTTCCTCTACTACTGGTTCCACCGCGCGCTGCACCACCACTTCCTCTACACGCGCTACCACTCGCACCACCACGCCTCCATCGTCACCGAGCCCATCACATGTAAGTATGTCTGTTCATACTGGCACAACGAGGACACACTCGCAGCAGAGACCCACGCCACCACGCGCGTACTTACAAACGTGCATGTGTGCGCGTCTACTGTATGCTCTGACCTAGTAGCGCGGTATTTTGCTGCGTGCGCTGTAGCTAGCTCTTTTTATCTTTTACTGGAGGGGTGCAACATATGCTGAGGTTGGCTTTCGAGGGCGCCAATCAGTGCATCTTTTCGAAAGGACATGGGCATGGCCTGTTTCTTTCGAGCAAAATGGGCAAGGGCATCAGATCTGGACCGGCATATGTCAGGCCGACGTCTGCGGGTCACTGACCCAGCGGACTGCCATCTTACGCTATCCGACTGGTCGATCACATGCATCGTTTTTGTGTGCGTGTGTAGAAACCATGTGCGTGGGGCTGTAAACGAGTAAGTTCGAGAGAGCTCCTACTCAGCGTGTGACGATCTCGAAATAGTTTCAAGCAAAATAATACGATAAAAATTATATGACGATTATTCCAACTAGCTAAATAGGGCACAACACTACTTAGGGCATGTACAATGGTGGCATCACCATGGTGCTGCCCCATGCATTTCACACAGTTTTTTTATAGGTGTATCTAGGTATCATCTAGATGTGACATAATTATGTCACATCTAAGTATGACATCAACGCCACCTCATCCTAGCATAAGCCCATCCTTCTTTTTTGTTTGTTTGCTTGTTAGTTTTTTCTTTTAAAACAATTATGTATTGCCTGGCACATATACGAGATCGAGTAGTACGTGTGTGTGTGGCTACCTCGCTCGCGCCCCCGCTCACGATAAACAACACGCGTTGTGTGCCGCATTTTTTTTTTTGCATGTTACGCATTGTACTGCCGCTGCTTCACTTCATGCACGCATTTTGTTAAAGCCCAAAACAAAAAAATCAGCCCGCCTCACATCTGCCTGGGTGGCTGGCTTATACATACAGCTGATCGCTAGCTTTTTTCCTGGAAAAATAATCTGGTCGCTAGCTTCGAGTAGTAGTACTAACATTGAGCTTTTTTTTAAGTATGCAGAATCAACATTTCTTTAATATGCACTGAACATTTTTTAGTATATGCTGAACTTTTTAATATACGGTGACTTTTTTATAATATACACAAAACTATTCTAAAACACATACTAAACAATTGACTGTGCATTCAAAAAATCTTTGAAAAAAATATTCTTGATATTCAAATTTTGTTTGCAAATTCAAAACAAGTTCGTCCCTTAAAAAACATGTTCACAAATTTCCAAAATAATATGGATTAGAAAGTTGTTCATAATTTTGAAAAAGGTTTAGGAATTTTTAAAAAGATACGGAAAACGAAAAGAAACAAAATGAATTTAAAAAAACTAATAGTCCCACTCGCGAGTCGCGGTGGACTTGCAACTAGGATGAAATACAAACTATGAGCCTAGTTGTGAGTCGAGGGTGGAGTTACGACTAGGATAACTACACTACGATGCCAGCTACGAGTCGAGGGTGGGCCTACAACTCAGATGAAAACAAACATGCAAGTGAGTGAGAGGGTGCAGTTGCAACTGGGACAACAACAAAACTATGGGCCGTGTTGCGAGTCACCCTTGACTCGCAACAGGGACAATTACAAAAGTACAAGCCCAGTTGCGAGCCAATAGTGAACTTGCAACCGGGATAAAACAAACTATGGACCTAGTTGCGAGTCAACAGTGGACATGCAACTAGGAGAACTACACAAACTAAGATATCCCCCTAGTTGCCGGTGGAAGGTAGACTTGCAACTGGGGCGCCAATAAAAAAACAAAAACAGATGCCCCCTAGTTGCGGGTCGAAGGTAGACTTGCAACTGGGGCGCCAATAAAAAAACACCGCCCTAGTTGTGTCGCGAGGGTTGACATGCAACTGGGGCTCCTATAAAAACAAAAACAGGCGGCCCCCTAGTTGCGGGTCGAAGGTAGATTTGCAACAGAGGTGCCAATAAAAA